TTCCCCCTTTAGGAATGGCCTAAAGACAACTTAAGTCAGTAGCATGGCCCTCCATATATACATACTTTTCCATTAGGTGGGGTTTTTTTCATATACCTTACAAAATCCTTTCCTATTCCAATAAAAATGGTGCTAGAGGCTACAGCTTTGAAAAGTGTATGTTGTGCTTAATATGATGTTTCAGCTATGTGATCATAGAAATAGCAGTCGGGCCAGCAGAAGAAATCTTACAATTATTTTTAGTTCTGAAATCTATACATGTATTTTTAGAATGCAAAACATTACACATCGAGTTCATACTTTTTCTGTCGTCAGTTCAATATTGAAATAATTGCTGAGAAACTCGTCCTTCTACACTTTTACTACTATAACTACATTATTTGTTGTGCTGTATCAGGAATAATGATGTCTATAGCTCTCCCCGTCGTTTTATGCTAGAAAGATTGTGAAATTATGCAAACTGAGCCCAAAAACGTGAAATTATGCGATTCTATTCATTTTAACAAAGAATGATAAAGGAAAATAATCAGAAATTGTGCAAAAAATGATCAAATTTTGCTAAATTATGCGGGGTGCATAAAACCACTTGGACAGCTTTATAGCTGTTTTTTCTTTCTGAGCCTTCTAGGTTTTCATTTTCGAGCATAACTCGTGTAGTCATTTCGCAAGGCAACTTAGATTCTTCATGACTTCGTTTCTATTGGCCATTTTGGGGCCCTGGAACGAGCATAATATCATTCAATGTTTACTTTCTGCTCTGACTGATTACGAGGCTGTGACCATTCGTAATTTTGTAGAAAACGGAAATTCCGGGACGCGTCGTGCTCTGTCATCATTAAAATTGTTATGTTCGAAAGAACCAATAAAAAAACGAGAAGTAATAGCTAGGAGTGGATGAACATGCATTGTTCCTGTCGGTCCATTCAAAGTGTATTATGTTGTGCGGTGTAAGACAGCGAGAAGAATAACGATGGATGAGACGAATCCATTTAAGTTTTCTTATGTCGTCATCAAATCTGAACATGTTATGTTCGAAAATTTAAACCAAGTAATGGTTAACATCGCACTGCGTTCCAATGGTCAAATAATGGTAGATCTATGCAACCAGGCATGCTTGGCTGGATGTTAACGAGAGGGGAAAATTTGGTGTAAATTGAGATGTTCCAAAATTGCGACAAGCATTTATCCACTAGATGACTTAATGTGTCATCGTGGTTATGTTCGAAAGATATTATTTGTATTTTGCTTTAGAGTCATATAGTAAAATGTTAATTAAGTGACATTTTTTCACCATTAGTCAAACCGAATGCCCAAATTTTCCAAAAATGAATTAAAATATGAAAATGGAAAGTTTTTCATTTCTTTCGGACATGAGTAGAATGACACAAATGCGAACACAAATACATTCAGAATTTCTTTTTTCTGTAATTTTATATGCTCTTCATGCTTATGTTTGAAAATTAAAGCAATATGAGGAAACTATTAAAATAATTTTATGTTCCATAAATTACTTTTCAGGGATTTTTTTCAGTTTATGTCATCATATGGTTATGTTCGAAAGATATTAGATATTTTGCAGAGATTCATAGTTAAATGTGAATAGTTAAAGTGGCATTTTTTCATCATTAACATGCATTGTAAGTCAAACTGAATCTTCTGAATCATTGTTTGCCAAAATGTTCATAAAAGAAATTAAGATATTTGAAAACGTAAAGTTTTTCATTTCTTTCGGACATAACTATGATAACACAACTGCCAACGCAAACAGCTTTCAGAATTTTTTTGTTTCTTTGATCCTCACCATTTTATATGCTCTTCATGCTTATGTTTGAAAAGTAAAGCAATAAGAAAAACTGGAAATAATTTTGTATGTAGGCTACAAATCTTTAAAAATGTGTCATAGTTATGTCAGAAAAAAATTTACTTGGTGCTATAACGTAATGCCAGTTACACAGCTTAGCATGATGTCTGTAGATCTCTAAAGAAACTTTCAAGTAAAAACGAAATATTAAAAACTTTATCATCAACCCTCTGATAATTATAGATTCTAGGTCCCACCTATTGGCAAAAAGCTCATATTAATTTTAATTATATTATTATATAAGTGTGTGTGTAATATACTCCC